TGAATTTAAATCCCTATTGTGTAATCATGATATTATCTGTCTTACAGAAACTAAACTAGATGATTGCGACTTAATTAATTGTGATGAATTTATTTTTAGTTTTAAAAATAGACACAAACTTTCTAACCATAGATCTGGTGGTATTGCATTGGGTTACCGGAAGTATTTAGAAAAATATATTAAACCTATTGAAACTGAATGCAAATTTGTTTATTGGTTAACTATTGATAAGAAAGTTTTAAACTTACCTGAAAACGTTTTTATTGGTATAGTTTACATACCACCAGTAAATACAAATTATACATCTGAAGAAGCTTTTAATGAGATAGAACTTGAACTTCAGAGATTTTCTGAAAAATCTGATTATATTATTTTGGTTGGAGACTTTAACAGTCGAACAGCAAATTTGTCCGATTTTTATGATGAAGATGATATAGATGATTTTGTTATTGACAACCTTACTGATCAATCTGGTTATACTGATGTATATATGTTAGACGATTTAAATATATCAAGAACAAGAAATAACCCAGACAAAGTTGTAAATTGTTATGGGAGAAAGTTTCTTGAATTTTGTAAAAATAACAAAGTATTTATTTTAAACGGTAGAGTTGGTCAAGATGTTATTGGTCGACCTACCAGTAGAAATAATAGTGTTATAGATTATATTGTTTGTACTTCACACTTTTTAAGATGCGTATCGAATTTTGAAGTTCTCGAATTTTCTAAACTTTTTTCTGATGTTCACTCACCTATGAAACTATCTATTAATATGGTGAACCCTTCATTTGAACTACACACTACAGAGTTATCCTACCAAGAAGAAAATAAAATTGGAAAATGGAAATTTGAGCAAGTGAATGATTTCAAGAATAACATAGATGGTGACAAAATAAGAAATGTTATTGATGAATTATCTGTTTATAGTAATCAAGAAAATGTAACAAAATATGAAATAAATACTGTAGTTACAAATATTACTGATATTTTAATTGATTCTGCAAAAGCAACATTTGGTACACATAATTTTAATAGAAATATGCTGAATTGTAATAGAAAGCATAATAAACAATGGTATAATTTTGATTGTAAAAAGGCAAAGAAAGAACTGAGAAAGGCACAAAGAATGTATAAACATTATGGGTCAAATTTATTTAAAGAACGATTACGACACTGTGAATATTACTATAAAAGTGTAATGGATGAAAACATTAAGAAGTATAATAAAGAAATAACTGATAATATGAAAAAATTAAAATCCAAAAATCCCAAAGAATTTTGGAAACTTTTTAACAGAGGTAGACAACGAGAAAAAAGCAATATATCTATTGAAACTTTATTTGATTTTTTTAAAGAATTGAATGAAAACAAGTTTGAAGACGAGTTTGTCATCGATAATGATTTGAACTCTGATCATGTAAATGAGACACTGAATGGTGTAATTACACATGACGAAATTATTAAAGCTATTAAAAAGGCGAAAAACAACAAATCGCCAGGTGAAGATAAAATAATCAATGAATATGTTGCAAATTCTCTTGACAGTATGATTGATGTATATTCTAAATTGTTTAATCTTATTTTTGATACGGGTATTCTGCCGGAGGCCTGGCTTATTGGAAACATAATACCAGTGTTCAAGAACAAAGGATGTCAATTAGAAGCAAAAAATTATAGGCCTATTACTTTATTGTCATGCCTCGGTAAGATTTTTACATCTATTCTTAATGATAGATTGGGGGAATTTGTTGATGAACTAAATATCTTGAACGAAAACCAAGCAGGCTTCCGACAGGGCTACTCTACCAACGATCATATTTTTTCATTATATGCACTCTTCGAGTTGCTATGTGTCAAACGAAAAAAATTACATTGTGTATTCGTTGACTTTGAAAAAGCCTTCGACTTTGTTCAAAGAAACTCACTTCTGTATAAGCTTGTTTTAAATAAGATAACTGGTAAATTTCTTAGAATTGTAGAAAATTTGTATAAAGATGTTAAATCAAGAGTTGTACATAATAATGAAGCATCTGACATGTTTGTAAGTGATATTGGAGTCCGCCAAGGAGAAAATCTTTCTCCTTTATTATTTTCTTTATATTTAAATGATCTTCATGGATTTTTAGAAAATAGCGATTTAAAAGGTATACATTCAATTACTTCTGATATAGAAGATGAACTGGATATTTATTTTAAGATATTTGTCTTATTGTATGCTGACGATTCGATTTTACTCGCTGAGACAAGCACAGATCTGCAATTACTTTTAAATAGTTTTTCTCAATATTGTGAAAAGTGGAAACTTAAAATTAATGTTAACAAGACAAAGGTAATGATATTTTCAAAAGGTAGACCACAGAATAATTTGAAGTTTTATATTAATAACGAAGAGATAGAAATTGTTAAGAAGTATAAATACCTTGGTGTTATATTCTCTAGAAATGCTTCTTTTTTTGCAACTAGAAAATATCTTAAAGATCAAGCTACTAGAGCTATGTATTGTGTTATTAAGAAGTGTAGATCTAACCATCTATCTATAGAATGCCAGCTCGATATGTTTGATAAAGCTGTTTTACCTATACTTTTATATGGGGCCGAAATCTGGGGATACGAAAATCTTGACATTTTGGAAAGGGTACATTTGAGTTTTTGTAAACATGTTTTACGGTTAAAAAGATCGACTCCAAATTTTATGGTTTACGGGGAATTGGGAAGATATCCTATTTCTTTATACGTTAAATTACGGATGATAAAATTTTGGTGTAACCTTCTTGATAACACACTTGATAACAAGATTTCGTCAATGTTATATAAGTTGATATATATTAATTTTAATAAGTATGGAATTGAAAACAAATGGTTGTTATGTATCAAAAGTATTTTTGATAATTGTGGAATGTCAAACATATGGCAAAATCAAGATTGTATCTCAAAAAAATGGATTGTATTAAGCATTGAACAAAAGTTAAAAGATCAGTTTAGACAAGAATGGCTAGCAAATGTAAATCAATCATCAAAAGGTCTATGTTATAAATTATTCAAAACAGAACTTAAATTTGAAAATTATATTTCAATTTTATCGTTAAATAATGCACTGAAACTATGTAAATTTAGATGTGGCAATCACCGTTTGCCAGTGGAGACAGGGAGGTGGCAAAATGTTCAAAGACCCGAGAGACTATGCCACCTTTGTGAATCTACTGACATCGGCGATGAATTCCATTATGTAATGTCTTGTTCTTTTTTCAAAAAAGAACGATATAAATATTTACCACACTATTGTTGTACAAATGTTAATATTCTTAAATTTAAAAATGTATTCACTACAGTCAATATTGTCTTACTAGAAAAATTGTGTAGATTTATAAACTATATATCAGTGAAAGTCTGTCCTCCTGGTTAAATTACAATTATTTATGTATATTTCACACATGCAAAATATGTTGTATTTTGTTTATATTTTCATCTCTGTAACTATGTCATTTAGTTAATGAGAATAAAGATCTCAATCAACCAAATATGATTGAAATTTTTGCCACTGGACGTTTAGCAAGCAACAATCAATTAATAAATCTATCGCTAGATTAATGTTCAGGGCGCACCTTCTAATCCTGCATGTGCATTAAATCGAAAACCAATGCATTGAAAGCGCAGACTGATTTTAAAAAAAGTCGACTTTGTCTTAATGTACACCAAGTTGAGAAACTTCCCTAAAATAGGGATAATCAAAAAGAACTGCCATGTAACCGTACAAGAATATGTGCATGTCTAATGTTAAATCCTTTAAAATAATAATATCTTTATCACTGATGGTATTTTTAATTTTTAGTTTCCGCTGGTTCTATTTCTTTGTTATTTGTATTTTCATTTAGAATGATACTTTTAACAAGGTATCCCTTACAGTGTATACCGAAAGGCATATGTATGTATACTAAGTAAATGTATGTAGGATCATTTATAGATTACTATACGGTATTGGTTTTGATCATTGTTGAAGGTCGTACTGTGACTTATAAATCCACGTCATTTAGACTGTTGGATAGTTGTCTTATTGGCAATAACACACGTCTCCTTATTTTATACCTATGTTATTGTTCCCCAGCAAAGAATGCCAATTTTTAATTATATTTCTGAAATGACAATGGTAAAGGGGATAATCTGGCTGTCCCATTGAGGTAAAGACTTGTATATAACTTTATAGAGTTACTTGATAGCAAACATTTTATAATTGGACACACATGTTTTATTATATAAAGCTGAAATAACCTCAAGCCGCTTCCCTCCATTCTAGCGTGAAACCACAAACCTGATTACCCTTTTAGGTATTTCAATTAAAAACTATATAGCCTATGTTATTGTTTATCTTACAACATCTTTGCCACAGGGCCTGTTTGATTACACACCTAGTGTTGTGTTTGTGGTGTTATGGATATGGTCTTTATATGTACAGAACAGGTTTGATATGTAAACATGTCCATATAAACAAATAAAAGGGATATAATATATAGATTTTAGATTATTTGGATTAAAATAGAGTAGATATGAAACACTATATTAGGATGGTAACAGATCGAGAAAAGTGATGATGCATAACTTAATATAATATTATTGGTAATCCATTTTCTCCATCACGACCTACTTTGACAGAAGCTTGATAAACAATGATAAAAGGGTCACCCAACCAGGCAATCTTGTCTTATTAGACAGTTTGTTTAAATACATGGTCATATTTCATTTAAATTCTTCCTCGGTATTTGTCCTGATTTAGGTCACTGCATGGTTCCTTAATCACATCGGTTCGGCTTTAAACTATTGTCGTATTTCTTTTGTCAGTAATTAAAGAATAAAGTATTTATAGTACAATTTCACAATGTAAAATATTTTTTATAAGTGAAAAGGGCGTGTCAAAACATTTGGGTCTGATCCGGACTAGCCACATTTTTACTAAAAGGGCGTAAAAGAGTGGAAAGAATAGAGAGAAAAAATAAAAGGTAACTTACCAGGAAAATAGTATTCACTATAATCAATATAACTTTGGCAATTGACGCACCACATCCCAAAGTCATTATTGCAGGTTTAATAAACTGTCACTAAAAAAAAGTCACTGGAAATCCTCCGGTTAGGTTTATATTAAATTAATGAAGTTTAATTCACTCTCGACGTCACCTCAGGTAAATCTACAACTGAAAATCGTATTACCTGTACGGTATGGTTATAGTCAATACTTTGTAATTGTCATGTGACGCGGTCTATTTTGAAATAGATCAGTTACATCATAGTTTTGTCCGGGCCTTTTGCATGAATGAAGTGACGTAAATTTAGATAAACAAAAATAGAAAGGAGCAACTTCTTAGGAATATATATAAGGGTGAATCATTGTAATTTTTTAGGGTTAAACATAATTTTAAATGAATAACAAAGTGTACGAGCGTGTTAAGTTATCCTTAATTTTCATAGGTGCAAAACATTATACGTCAATTTCGAGAAAACGCCTTTCTTGAAATAATGATAAAAATACATGATTTAAACATCTTCAACATTATCTGACCCATTATAACTGAGTCATTGAAAGGGTAAACTCTTACAAAATCGATTGTTGTAGATTTACATTTGCTAAACGTCCAAATATTTCATAAATATTCAGGACGGGTACACATTTAACTATGAATAAATCATGAAAATTGGATTGAAGGGGGTTCATAAAATACTGTTAAGACTGACTTTGGGAAAAGTTGGAGATCTTGGGCACTGTCAGAATACGACTGGACGACAAAACTCGAACACAGAGCAATCTTTTTAGAATAACATCACAGTTTGCGGTTCACATGTCAAAGTTGCGACTTCACGAAAAAAAGGGAAAAATGACAAGGGACAATCAAAAATAACAAGTCGATTGAAGAAATACCGGCAATGCTATGGACAAAAATAAAACGATCAACAAAACACCACAAAACTAAAGATAAAGCAACACAAAACCCACAATAAACATGGTTTGGACTCCGTGACTCCGTCATGTTAAGTAGTTCCTGCTCAAATAATTACACTCGGCCCAAAGCAATTAAGTGACTCTGGACTAAAAAAAACCCTTAAACAACAGCACTTGTTATTTTTGTAGGCTCTGAATAATTAAAATTACAAAAATGTATATAATTCATAGAAACTTACATTTTAGATATATTATTGTGGATTTCGTGGGTAAAAGTAACCAACAAATTTAGATGTTCAACGAAGTTCAAATTTTCTGTAGGCTTGTATGCAGACTTTGGCAAAACCACGAAATCAAATATCCACGAAAATAAATGTTTCCTCAATCCACGAAAATGGATACATATGTGACAGTGATATTTTCCATTTAATTCTAGTGTGAAAATATAGAAACTTTAGATTCATCATTCTAATTTATCTCGTCCTGAATATGCATGAAATATTTGCCACTGGACGTTAAGCAACCAACAATCAATCAATCAATCTAATTTATCTTTCTGACAATTCTTCTGTTTTCTTTCATGTCAGTCATTTTAATCTTAAAAGATTTTAACTACATGTATATGTGCTAATTACGCCGTTTTTAACATTACGTACTTTCTAATCCGTTTGTCATTTCCATTGTCTAAATACTTTAACGATCAGTTTATTATCTTAACACTTAGGTTACTTTTGTTTTTTGTTGGTTTATAGCTAATGATGTAATATTACATGTAGTAGATAGTTCAATTAAGATTTAGTAGAAGTTTCAGATGGGAACCCGACAGGCTACGGAAATGATGTCGAATTTATATGTATACGGAAATCCGTAGTGTAGTGAACAAAGCATTTATACTGGACTTTGCTGTGTATTTACATGTATGATTTATACTGTGTTTAACATTAATTAAGTCGCCAAAACGGAGTTTTGGAGACTTATTGTTTTTGTCCCGTTTCTTATTATTATGTCACCCGATCGACAATGTCGGGTGGCATATTGCTTTTCCTCCGTTTCTTTTTTTTATTATTATTATTATGGCACCCTCAACGGAGTTGGGGTGACATATTGTTATTCTACGTTTCTTTTTTTCCTTTTTTTTATTATTATTTTTCTTCCACTATTTTTGTCCGGAGCAGATCTCGGAATAGAATGGACCAAAGTTGATGGAACTATGGTATAATGTTGACCACCATGCAAAGTTGTCCCTCTGACTTTGGAATGGTCAAGATGGCCACCGTTACCATGGAAACAGCAAAAATGCGAAAAAAATCAAAGTACTCCAAATTGGAAGAAACTCCACAGGAATGGTAACTGGCATGTGCTGATTTGCAGTTTGACTTTGGAATTTTCAAAATGGCTGCCGTTACCATGGAAACAGCTAAAATATCAAAAATTCTAACTCTTTCGTTATAAGACGCAACTGGATGAAACTTTATGAAAATGTTACCCAGTCTGCTAAGATGTCAAAACAATATTCCTAAATGGCCGCCGTTGTCATGGAAACTGGGGGCAAATTTTACATTTACCCTAAGGGAAAATGCATAAAATCAGCATTTTCTCAAAGAGTATTTCACCAAAGTCAATGAAACTGTAATGATAAATAACATGACATGTGGCAATGAGATGTCTGCTTTTAGAATTTTGGAATTATCCACTGTAACCATGGAAACAGCAATAATGTCAAAAATTTCAAAAATAATTAAATTGCTGCAAACCGGATGAAACTTTACAGAAATGGTTACTGGCATGGGCAGAGTTGCATTTTGAAGTTGGAATTTTCAAAATGGCCACCGAAACCATGGAAACAGCAAAAATGTCAAAAATTTCAAAATGCTCCAAACTTTATGAAACTTTACAAAAATGATAATTTGCATGTGTAGATGCGCTCTTTGACTTTGGAGTTTCCAAAATGGCCGCCGTTGCCATGGAAACAACAAAAATGCGAAAAATCTAAATTTGGTCCATTCTTTATGAAACTTGACAGTAATGTGACCTGTCATGTGTAGATGTGCCATCCGACTTTGGAATTTTCAAAATAGCTGCCGTTACCATGGAAACTACAAAAATGTCAAAAAATTCAAAATGCTTCAAACTTAATGAAACTTTACACAAATGTTGACTGTCTTATGTAGATGTGGCATTTGACTTTGGAATTTCCAAAATGGCCACCGTAACCATGGAAACACGAATGCTTAAATTTGAAAATTGGTCCAATTTTTATGAAACTTGTAAGTAATATGACCTGTCACGTGTAGATGTGATATCCGACTTTGAAATTTCAAAATGGCTGCCGTTACAATGGAAACAGCAGAACAATGGTTGGGGCCGTTTTGGCGACTTTTGTGTTAGCATCCTAACACAGGATTACTTGTTTTTTTTCTTATTATGGCACCTTCAACGGAGTTGGGGTGACATACTGTTATTCTACGTTTCTTTTTTTTATGGCACCCTCAACGGAGTTGGGGTGACATATTGTTATTGTTCGTTTCTTTTTTTCTTATTATTATATTTATTCTTCCACACTTTTTTGTCCATGCTATTTCTCAGAATTGGCTTGAACAATATTGATGGAACTATACCATAATGTAGACCACTTTATAAAATTGTGCAATCGGGGTATGGCATCATCAAGATGGCTGCCGTTGCCATGGAAACCGAAAAAATGTGAAAAAAAATGCAAATTCTAAATCTTTCGTTATAAGAGGCAATCTCTTGAAAGTTTATGTAAATGTTGGCAGCGATGCCCTGAGGTACCAACAGTACTTGGAATTTTTAAAATGGCTGCCATTGCCATGGAAACTGGAGAAAAGTTTAACATTGAGCCTATGTGAAAAAACATCAAACCAGCATTTTCTAAAGGAATATAAGATCAAACTCAAAGAAACATCATGAATATATAACATGACATAAGTCAATGTTACAACTGTTGTTGGAATTTTCGAAATGGACACCGTAACCATGGAAACAGCAAAAATATCCAAAAATTTCAAAATGGTCTAAACTAAATGAAACTTAAAATAAATGGTAACTGACAATTGGAGATAAGACTTTGGACTTCGGATTTTCCCAAATGGCCGCCGTTGACATAGAAACTGCAAAAATAAAAAAAAATAAATAATGTAACAAATTTCCCGAAAATTTACAGACAAATTTGTTGTAATGCATTTAAGTGCTTTGACTGTTTTTAATTTTCAAAATGGCTGCAGTTTAGTGGCAATGTGGGAAGGGTGCCATCCGCTATTGCTTGCAATGGCAAATCTAATTATGGTACCCTCAACGGAGTTGGGGTGACATATTGTTATTCTACGTTTCTTTTTTTTCTTATTATTATTATTATTATTATTATTGCAGCCTCAACGGAGTTGGGGTGACATACTGTTATTGTACTTTCTTTTTTTTTCTTATTTTTCTTCCACACATTTTGTCCGCGCGAGTTCTCAGAACTGAACGGACCAATGTTTATGGAACTCAACTACAATGAGGAACCCCATGTGAAGTTGTGCACCTTGCTTTAGAATGGTGAAACATGGCCGCCGTTTCCATGGAAACAGCAAAAAATGCGAATAAAAAATCAAAGTGTTCCAAAATGAAAGAAACTCCACAGGAATGGTAACTGGCATGTGCTGATTTGCAGTTTGACTTTGGAATTTTCAAAATGGCTGCCGTTAACATGGAAACAGCTACAATATCAAAAATTCTAACTCTTTCGTTATAAGACCCAACTGGATGAAACTTTATGAAAATGTTACCCGTTATGCTAAGATGTCAAGACAATATTTGGACAGTCCAAAATGACCGCCGTTGTCATGGAAACTGGGGGCAAGTTTAACATTGACCCTATGGGAATATGCATAAAATCAGCATTTTCTTAAAGAGTATTTCACCAAAATCAATGAAACTGTATTGATATATAACATGACATGTGGCAATGAGATGTCTGCTTCTAGAATTTTGGAATTATCCACAGTAACCATGGAAACAGCAAAAATTTCCAAAATTTCCAAAAAAATCAAAATGCTGCAAAATGGATAAAAGTTTACAGAAATGGTAACTGGTATTAGCAGAGTTGCATTTTGAAGTTGGAATTTTCAAAATGGCCGCCGTAACCATGGAAACAGCAAAAATGTCTAAAATTTCAAAATGCTACAGACTTAATGAAACTTTACAAAAATGATAATTTGCATGTGTAGATGCACTCTTTGACTTTGGAATTTTCTAAATGGATGCCGCTCGCCTGGCAATTGGGGGAAGGGTGCCATC